AAATCCATTTAGCTTCGGGATTGCTATTGCTGCAAAAAACACTCCTTGTATGGGTTTTCTCAGGAGGCTGCAATCGATGCAATCATTCGTTGCATCGCAAAGAGCAACGCCTGCGCCAACCCCAGTTGTCCAGTAAGATGAGTTGATTCGTCAGTTCTGGGAAGTAGAACATGCCTTCGAGCCAATCTCAAGGATGTCCGCAGAAGAGCGAGATGTAGGTCTGTTAGGCGATTCGTATTTGCAAGCCAAGAGGCGATTTGAGAATCTTGAGCGCAAGTTTAGTCGAAATCCAAAGGTAAAGGAGCAATACGCAGCATTCATTAAGGAATATTTGGACCTCAAGCATATGTTTTCCGTGCCTAGCTCGCAAGTACATGAGTGTAAATACTTCTTGCCGCACCATTGCGTATTGAAAGAGGAGAGTTCGTCCACAAAGTTAAGGGTCGTGTTCGCTGGCTCAGCAGTGACGTCGTCTAGATTCTCGTTAAATGAGCTCCTAATGTCAGGGCCCACAATTCAGGCTAAGCTCTTCACCACTCTAGTGCGTTTTCGTACATTTCCGATTGGAATTACCGGAGACATTTGTAAGATGTACCGATGTGTGCGCGTGGCAAAACCATATTCTCTGTTACAGTTTATCTTGTGGCGTGATTCATCCAATGACATCCAAGTTTTTAAGCTGGACACGGTCACGCATGGCACCAAGCCTGCTTCATATTTGGCCATTCGTGCAATGCAGCAACTCGCCATGGATGAGTCTTCGTCGTATCCATTGGGCTCGAAAGTCGTTTTGCGGGACTTCTATGTTGATGACGGGATATCAGGAGGCGATGCCGTTGTAGAAGAACGGAAGGTCATGCATCAAACAACACAACTAATTGGTCGTTTGAGAAAGTGGTGCTCGAGCTCTGTAGAAGTGCTTCAGGATGTCCCAGAGGCCGACAAGGAAAGCCTTCTTAAGTTTGACGACGGGAGCGATATTACAAAGACTCTGGGGCTTGTATGGGATCCACGCAGGGACAAGTTCTTATTCACCTTTGCACACAACATCAGTTTTGGCCGACACACAAAACGGACCGCGCTGTCAGTAATCGCACGGTGTTGCGATCCTTTCGCTTTAATCGGACCAACGTTGACAAGGGCGAAGATAATTCTTCAAAAGATGTGGAGAAGCAAGTTGGACTGGGACGAGAGCTTGTCACAGGCTTTAGAGAGTGAATGGACCCAATTATGCCAGGATGTTCCCGAAGTTGACCGTGCTGAGTTTCTTCGCTACGTTCTGCAAGGTGGAGCCAGGTTCGAAGTGCACGCACTTTGTGATGCCAGTCTCGCTGCCTTTGGAACGTGCGTTTATACGCGATCGGCTACATCACTTGGAGTTCTGACACATCTACTTTATTCGAAATCTCGGCTGGCACCTGAACACAATCGGCATTCACAAGTTAGAGCTCTGTGGTGCCGCGCTTCTTGCGCACTTGGTTAGCGAGGTCTTGATGATAGAAGCGCTCAATTGCAAAGTCTTTTGTTGGACAGACTCCTCTGTGGTGCTTTCGTGGCTGAAGGAAGAGTCTTCGAAATTCAACGCGTTCGTTGCCAACAGGGTCGAAGGATCATCCGTTGAAGTTTGCCGTCGTTGACCACTTTCACCGGAAGCATCACAATGCAGGCCCGCAGACGCTGCTCGGCTTGATTCGGTTGCAGAATTGGCCGATAGGCGGAATAAAGACGGTTTCTCGCGCATTGCGGAAATGCATCATCTGCAGTAAATATCGGCCTCGTCTCATGAAACACATAATGGCAGATTTGCCAAAGGATCGAGTGGAGAAGTCGCCGGCATTCACTGTGACCGGGATTGACTACTGTGGACCCTTCTACTACAAGACCGATGTACGCAACAAGGCCCCACAGAAGTGTTACATATCGATATTTATTTGCTTCGCTACCAAGGCAGTATGGCTAGAGAGCTTCGTTCCTGGCCGCTCTTAAACGTTTTACGGCCACAAGAGGAATTCCAAGATGCATTTGGTCGGACAATGCGACCAACTTTGTTGGCGCAAGGAATAAGCTTGAGGAACTGAGCCTGTTCTTGAGCCAGAAGCACATCGACGACGTTCATGCGCACTGCCTGAACAGTGGCTTCGATTGGCGTTTCATCCCACCTCGATCCCCGCACTTTGCCGGGCTTTGGGAGGCTGCAGTCAAAATGACTTAGCGGCGCCTGTACCATTCAGTCGGAACGTGCATCCTTGGGTTCGAGAACTTCGGACCTTGGTATGCCAAATACAGGGAATAATCAATTCTCGCCCTAGCGTAATCATAGTTGCTGTTCTTCGTACTTCGACTGGTAATACACGACGAGCTGTTACCAAGCTCTGCGTCCTTCCCGTTGGTGCTGATGCGGAAGTCCCTAGTTCGAAGCAGCCGCTGGCAACAAGCTCTTTGCACTAGCTGTCCCTCTTACATCGAATGCACGCCCGCTCTTACCATCAAACGCTCGCTCACTGATCGTAGATCAAGCCCGAGCGTTGAGCGGGCTGAGTGAGTTGCATTGCTGTTGAGAGCGTAGGAGTCAAAACCGTGAGAGCAAATGGAACGGACTAATATAGTCCAACGACCCTTGAAAATTAGTTATATGTTCAGTAACCCTTCGCCATAAAACACAAGGATTGAATTTGTCGCTTGTCGAGAATAAAGCCAACATTGTTAAGTTTAAACGATTTCGCGTTCTGACTTTATTTTTTTGGAAATTATTCAAGCAGTCGGAAAAGCCCGACAGCTCACAAAACTGATTAATGACGATATTTGTGGTATCAATATACAATGGAATTCACCGAATTATCCAACTCATTTAGCAAACAAATTTAATTTTTTATTTTCTTGCTTACAATTTGTTGTACAGTTCGGTAGCAACCACTAAACATTTTCTTAAATAAAATAAATAAAACTTAAATATTATTGTAAGTGCTTTTATCCATTACGCTTAGAATCATTGCCCTCTGTGCTCACTGTTGTGCGCTTCATCCGTTGCATCGCCTATCAACACACGCTCTGGAGAGCATATGTGCAAGCTCTCTTGCTCTCACCCTCTCTGGAGTTAACCTGCATCTGCATCTTCTTGAATTGCTCTCTCGGTGTCTCTGTTTCGTAGGCTTCACCGTTTGTTTTCGTCATTTCGCTGGATCGTCTGTCGCTGCTGCTGTTCGTCGATCGCTCTTCTGCCTGCTCTCTTATATCCCTTTCACTCCCACTTTGCGTTTTTCTTTGAGCACAGTGATTCATCTGCTGTCAAAAATGGCTGTTGTCTGCAGTGCAAAGAAATGCGAATTCGGTGGCAACATAGTCGACGATTCATTCCTTAGCTGCTGGCTATGCGACAATGTCACCCATATAAAATGTGCTGTTGATTGTAATTTTGGAAGGCTACGCGATCTCATCTCAAAACATATGGGTCTTACTGACGTGTTTGGCCTGCCGGGAGATTGAGGCCGAAATGCGCACTTTTATGAGACAGACTCCTACTGGTTTTCGGGACGTCCGGAAGCAATTTATCGTCCCAGAGTGCCAATATTACTGGCCCTGATCGTTCAAAAAACAAAATAACCTTTATATCATTCATTACCAGAAAGTACGCAGTCTGTTAATCAAGTTGTGCCATACGAATAGTGCCTCTTTTGACTTTGACGCTGTTGCTTTAACTTTTCGTTCCAAAGTTATAGAATATGACCGTCCATCTTTTGCTGGTGGGGTTTTTATTTCTGTTAAAACGCATTTTTCATCTGAGTTGTTCCCATTCAACAATATCTATGGCATTGAATTCATTGCAGTCAAAGTTTGTATTGGATCGGTATCGATGTATTTGACTTGCTCTTACATTCTTCCAAAATCAGATGTTGAGGTTTACTCATATCACTTTTCTGCAATTCAGACTATTGCATCTACTTCAGGTTTCAACGATCATATAATTGTCATGGGTGACTTTAACTTACCACTTCTTTGTTGGCCTAGTGATGAGTCTAACCTGTTGCTACCAAATTACCAAAACGATTTTATCGACGTGAAAATTTATTTGCCACCTTCTTCCAATCAACGTTCTCGTCAAATATCTACCACACATCCACTCCGTATCCCTACCATTTACCTCATGCCAACATCATTTTTCTGCCTTTCTTTGACCGTCGTTCGCAACTCGGATTTTTAAAACATCGATCAACATCGACAAACCTTCTCGAGTTCTATTCTGCAATTAACCGAACATTTCAAAGCTCACTGCAAACAGACGTAATTTTCATGGAACTTAGCAAGGCTTTTGACTCCGTAAACCATTCTCTTCTCAACCACAAGCTTTCTTTAATTGGTTACCCCACTAATCTTCTAAGCTGGATCTCGTCATATCTTTCTAGCCGCACACAACGTGTTTTTATACCCGTACTCAAAAAAGAGTTAAGGGGTATATTAGATTTGTGGTAAAAGTCTCGATGAGCGCCTGGATCTCAGAGACTATAAGAGCCAGAGAAACCAAATTTGGTTTCCAGACTCATGTGATATCACACTGCTACAAGTGTATTTCAAAATTTCGCCCCGCCCCCTCCCGCCCCCTCAAAGGACGAAAATCTGTGGCAGGCACAATTTTAAAGATACGATAAAACTAAAAACGCAGTATCGTAGAGAATGGCCATATCTACCAGATTGCCGAATCTAAATCAGATCGGATCATAATTATAGCCAGAATGAAGAAATTAATTTTCTGTTGGTTCCCTCTCCTTCACCAGCGCTGCTGACGCTACTGATTCTCTTTCTCGTTCGCACACTCTGCCACGTTCAGTGCGCGAGCAACCCCTAGCGGAGGAGATGTAGAATCTAAATGGTACATGTAGAATTTACATGTTAGATGTAGAATATACATTGTAGATGTAGAATATACATTGTAGATGTATATGTAGATAACAGATGTAGCAAAAAAAATGTTTAATTTAAAATCCAAAAATGTATATACTGACTGTATACACTCAATCAGAATAGACGTGCAAGTTACACGCTCCGTCAACAAGTGCTTTTTTCGGTGAAACCTGCAAACAACAACACATCAGCTGCTGGTCAATACAAATATAAGGTGCTTACCAACATCAGAGCACTGTCAGCGGATCACCACCGGCTGGCCCGTGGGCTTATTATTGTTTTTAAAAAAAAACTGGTCATCGAGTAACTCGAAAGTAGCTCAAACTTGGCAAAGGAAGGCACGGAAAAAGCGGGAAACGAAATTTTTCACTTAATACTGAGTGGGAAACGTGAGTACGAACGTAAACAACGAAAACAACAGCGCTAGAGGTGACATTACACAGCTGTTAGCGATCGATCTGCCACGCATATTGCAAAAGCTCGCGCTAGAGGGCGCCCACCAATAGTGCACCAACATTCTGTATAGCCTCGCCTCTGTTAAAGCACATAATCAAAACAATGCAGCCTGTCTCAAAACGTCTGCGTGAAAATACTGGAACAAATCTGAAGGGACCGCGTACATCAGAAACGCCTGCCCCGGAATTGGTTCATCTTTTGAACCAACGATTTGAGGAGCAAGTCAGTCTCATTTCAACAAAGATGAATGAGGCAGAAGAGCAGCTGTTAAGTTTGCTAACAGGCAAGCTTAATAGTATGGCTGGTGAGATCCAGAATCTCACACAGAGAGTCCAGTTTCTAGAAAGTAGGCTGGGTGAGACTCAAAACCTTACAAAAAAGGTAGAGGATCTGGAAGCCCAGCTTTTGTTAAAACTAGATGCACAGGCTAAGGCCAATGTCGCATGCGACCTGAGGATCCATGGAGTTCCGTACGTCGAAGGTGAAAAGCTGAAACATATCTTCAACAACTTGTGCCTCAGCCTAAATCACACGCCTGCGCCTGCTATTAGGGATATCTATCGTATGAGGCCGAACAAAAATCTTTCCCACTCCATCGTTGACCCCATCATCATTGTCAAGCTGGAACGGGTGCGCGACAAAGCGGCATTACTGCGCAACATCGGTATGTACAGGCGGGAAACCAAGCAGCCCCTAACTCTGCAGTTACTCGGCCTAAACTCACCAGCCCCAGTATATGTCAACGAGCAGCTTACCAGGGAAAACTACCAGATTTTTAGAGAAGCTCTGAAAATGAAGAAGCATCGGAAGCTGCAATCCGTGTTTACGCACAGGGGTATGGTTCACGTCAAAGTGACCCAAGAAAGTGAGATCTGGGAAGTTCTCAAAATTGAGGATCTGAGGGAGATGCAAGCTGCTACTGAGAGCCCTGCAGCTGGAGACGAGAATAGCTCGTTTCGTCAATAATATAACCATAGGCAAATTTTTCATGTTAGCTATAAGTATTACCCATCTAACCACCTTCCTGTATTTTATTTTTAAGTGGGCCCTTAACTGTACTTACTGTAATGAAATTTTTCGTTGTGTTAAAACACACTTGATATGGACGGTTCATTAGAACTAACAAATGTGAATACATCTCAGGTCCTCAGAATTCTGGTGAAGCAAAAATCGGGTCTGCAAATCTGCCATATCAATGCACAAAGCCTGACAAAAAAAATTGACGAATTCAGACATATGTTTATCGACTCTGGTGTGGATGTTATATGTGTTTCCGAGACTTGGTTTGTCCCCGACTTAAGTGACTCGTTAATTGAATGTAGAGGATACAATGTATTTCGTTCTGATCGTGTAGGGCATGCCGGGGGCGTTGCAATATACATAAATAACAAGATATCCGCAAAAATCCTCTGTAAGCAAGGACCAGATAGTGCCATAGAATACTTATTTCTAACGATCACCATCAATAGAAGAAAGATGCTTCTTGGTTGCATATATCGACCAAATCGAAACATTGACTACTCAGACCTGACATCACTTATTACTGACATTTCCTTGACTTATACAGACGTAATCCTAGCAGGTGACTTTAATTGTGGTATTCTTAGAGAATCCTCATTAGCAGATAGCATGTTGAGCCTTGACTTAAATATAGTGAACCACCAGCTCCCCACACACTTTACAAAAACAAGAAACACACTACTAGACCTATTCTTTGTCGACAGTACTGACAAAATTCTACTATATGACCAACTCACAGCACCAGGGTATTCAAAACATGACCTTATTTTCTTGACCTACGATTTTAATCCTGACTACGATAATTATGACACCTTTTACACAGACTTCAAGAACATTGACCTTGAAAAACTACACACTGACATTAGCATCCTTGACTGGACGTCAATACATCATATGTTGTCTGTAAATTCTCAGCTTGCGCAACTTCAATCAAACATTGATTATCTTTTCTGTGAACATGTACCTATTAAGAGAAAGACAGTCAAACGAACAGATAACTCATGGTTCAACCCGGACATAAAGCTAGGTATCATCAAACGAAATGAGGCTTTTAAAAAATTTAAAAGATATAAGACTGAAAGCCACTTTAATATGTACAAATCATTAAGATCAAACGTAACTAAACTAATATACTCTGCTAAGACCTCCTTCTACTCGTCAAAGTTTAACAACGCTCTGTGTAGCAAGCAGAAATGGCAAGTGATTAAAAGTATAGGAATTGGCAAAAAAACAAGAAACTCACTAGTTGACATGGACGTAAATGAAGTTAACAAAAAATTTTTGCAATTAGTTGTACCGGACCCAACACCAACCCTGAACTTGACATCAGCGCCCTATAATTATACTGTTCCTAGCTTTAGTTTCTGTTGTGTTAGTCCTTGTGATGTTCTAGAATCCATTCATAAGATTAAATCAAATGCTACTGGCCTAGACGATATGAACCCGAAATTTTTGAGAATAATACTCCCTAGAATCATCATGCACGTTACTCACATTTTCAACACAGCCATTACCACATCAACGTTCCCGGAACAGTGGAAGGAGGCTAAAATAATCCCTATCCCAAAAGCAAACTCTGCAGAATATAGGCCAATATCCATACTCCCGACCCTGTCAAAAGCGTTCGAGACCTTGGTAGCTAAACAAATAAATTCATTCCTTACAGAGCACACATTACTAAACAACAATCAATCTGGATTCAGAACAAATAGGAGTTGCACAACTGCAATGATAAAAATTGTAGAGGATATCCGTGAAAGAATAGACGACGGAAAAGTAACGTTCCTAACTCTTCTTGACTACACTAAAGCTTTTGACTCAGTTGACCATCGCATCCTCATCGCAAAGCTTCGCGAATCCTACAACTTCTCTGACTCTGCAGTACGGTTGCTATCATCCTATCTGCTAAATAGGAGCCAGGCTGTTGTTGCTGAAGGGAAAATGTCGTCCTTTGCCTATGTTAAGTGTGGTGTCCCACAGGGATCAATACTTGGCCCGATATTGTTCTCCATTTATATAAATGATTTGCCAATAGTATTGTCCGACTGTAAAGTGCACATGTACGCCGATGACGTCCAATTATATGTTAGTCGACCGTTAAATCGAATAGATGAGTGTATAAATGTTACCAATAGAGAGCTTGAGAAAATTAGTGCGTGGGCAACCAAAAATCGTCTATGCCTCAATCCAACAAAGTCAAAATGCTTGATTATATACAAAAACAAGAAAAAAATAAATGAAACTATATTGAGACGTGTAGAAATATCAAACACTCCCATTAGCTACATAGAGAAGACAACTAATTTAGGCTTTATAATAAATAGTACTCTGTCGTGGGATGATCATGTGAGCAAAGCAGTTGGAAAAACATATGGGATCTTAAGGGCACTTATTATTACCAAGCAATTTATACCAGTTAGCATCCGGATGCAGATAGCAAAAGCATACCTAGTACCTGTACTCACTTATGGGATTGAGGCATTTGGAAACTGTGGCTACGAAAACAGGCAAAAGTTGAGCGTTTGCTTTAATAATATAGCTAGATACATATTTAGATTAAGGCGCAGCGACAGAATCTCTGCATTCTCATATAAAATTTTCGACATGACTCTTTTCAAATGGATTGACTATAAGATGCTTACGTTCCTACATAAAATAATCCTCACCAGACAACCCCAATATCTGTATGAAAAATTAAGATTTACCAATTCCGCAAGAACGAACAATATTATCACCATACGATATAGAACACTAAACTCTGAGAGACATTTCTTTGTGAATGTTATTCGCATATGGAATCATCTTCCACATCACATGAAAACAATACGAAACATTTCACAATTCAAAACACAGTTAGGTGCCCACCTTACACTATACTAAGATTTAAAAATCAAATTCAATTTAAAATAAAATAACACGAACATAAGCATAAGAAAACAAATCAATATATGTAACCACTTATTAGTATGTCATATTAAAAGATTAATTTAGATCTAAGTTTAATCCCAAACTAATGTGACACCTAGTGACTAGTGCTCTAATTATAAGCCCCTTGCTTGTAGCACTAGGAAATACAATAAACAAACAATACAATACAATACAGTACGGGTATAAGTAAAGTCGCGTGTTGTCGAATGTTGATAATGGTACATCAGGAGTGCCACAAGGTAGCCATTTAGGTCCACTTCTGTTTATTTTATTTGTATGACAAATATGACAGCTAAGACATAGTCTTCTACATTAATGTACGCTGAAAATGTTCAAATCTATCCCTCCTACTCTGATTGGTACCTGCACAAACGCCTTCAACTCGACCTAAACGAGTTACACGTTTGAGGTTAAAAAAATCTAATTTTTCGGAACATTTCTAAATGCAAACTTATGACTTTTACCGTCGCGCTACACATTTTGTTTCGTACGCTCTAGGAAACTATACCCTCTAACGAATTCCCAATTCAACCTTGGAGTTCTTTTCGGTCATAGACTGTGTTTTAATTGCCATATAGCTGCAACTGTAAATAAAGCTAAGGGTGTTCTAGCATTTATAAAGCGTTGGTCCAAGGAGTTTGACGACCCGTATGTCACCAAAACACTGTACGTCTCCTTGGTTCGTCCGATTCTAGAATATTGTTCTTGTGTGTGGAGTCCACAATACAAGGAGCAACAGTTCATTCTCGAATAGGTCCAAAAATAAATTTTAAATTTTGCCATGCGTAATTTTAGCTGGGACTCGGATAGAATCTTGCCACCTTACCCTTCTGTAGGTATAATTACGCTCAACACGACCCTTTTCGAATTTTATGCTTTAATTATAATAATCTTTATCATACCCTATACCCTGAATTATCCCTTAAAATTATAGCCAGTGTCGGTGGTCCCACGGAGTTGCCTGCCCACGGCCGATATACCCCCAGAGAAGCAGGTTTCTCGTAAGCCCGTTTTATTCTAGATAAGAAAAGATTGCTACATAACCTCTTAGATATTCTTACCGCAGTATTTCCTCCTGCTCTAACCACGCGACAATATAAAAGTGCAGCTTAAAATATGGCGGCAATTCATCGTGGCCGAAAAATATGCCCGTTCATTCCAGGGCCCAAAATCCATACATTTCAATATACTAGATGTACTAAAAATACTTATCGCTACAAATTATCGTCTTGCGACATCCCCGACCCCGTGAAGAACCGCTTCACTGAAATCCAAAACCGCCAGTTTGGAGACGGGACGCATCCTAACCATGGATAGACCGCAGTCGTTCCCGCGCACACTAGTGGGTCTAATGACTCCATCAACTCCTTTGTATACCTCCTCCACGATGCCCTTACACCACTCCCTTCGCAGCGTAGCATCCACATTTTGGTGCTTCATCTTGGCGTGGAAATGATGCACAACAATCTCCGTGAGACTGTGCCTGTGTGAAAGAATTATCGGCCTCCTCGCACTGTACGGCATGCAAAAAATCAACTCTGCCATAGGCTCGCAGAACTCACAGATCATCTATGTAGGGTGACAGTCCTTGAGTGTCGCTCCAGCCGGCAACCATCTTGCCGTCTTCTGCCGACCGCATCTCGTTTGGAAACGCTTCACGTTGTGCCTGTCTGACCAACAGGTTCTCACACTCTGATGCAGTAAGGCCGTACTTCTCGAGCGCGCTTCTTTGTCCACGGCACCAGAGCGTGAACCTTAAGACCCAGGCTGTAGTCCTGAGTAGCCGACTGTAGCTCGAGAATCTCTGAAAGGAAATACAAAAGTCGTTCGCACTAACAAGCGAAAACTCACTTGGCATCTCCTCTTCGTCGCTACCATCCGAATCTGGTTCAGTTCCAGATTAAGGCTTTGGCCAGCTGCCCGCTGGCTGCCTCAAAAATTCTGGTCCGCCTAGCCAACGTGACTTCTGGCTGAGGTCCACGTGGCATTGCGAACGTGTTGCGTCATCCGCCGCATTGTCGGCTGTTGGCACCTATCTCCATTGGGATACCTTCGTCGACTCCAAGATCACCGCCACACGATTGCCGACAAACTGCTTATATCGGCGGTGGGTGCTGCCAATCCATCTTAGCACCTTCTTGGAATGGATGGATGTCACTGATGGCCATACTGTGTTCCTTTTTAACAGTGTCCATCAGCCTAGTTCCAATAACTGCTGCCTGCAGCTCCAGCCGTGGGATTTACATTGCATCTCTATAGCTCGCACGAGTCCATTTCCAAAATAATGGCGAGGGCCTCTGAACTGTCCCACGGTGTCCATTTCCTTGCGCCAATTCACAAAGGCTGTGTATATCTCATCCGGAAGTGGTTCATCCCACTGGATCGTCTGCCTCCAAATCTCTCGTAGCAATAACTTGGATTTTATCATGAGGCAACACAAGAATCCCAGGGGATCGAACGTAGACATGACCAAGCTCAAATACTCCCTCTTGGTAGGAACTCGATCGCCATTCAATACGCTGCTTGGAACTCGATGATACTTCACATTGAACCTGAAGCTGGCTGCTTGCCAACACATTCCCAGAATCTTCTGTTCACGCTCTCGCCTCGTCCTGGTGGACCCAATGCAGCCTCCACAATGGGTGACCTGGATGAAAATTGGCATAGCTCGAATCCAGCGTTCGCATGTATGTCCTTTACTCATGTAGATACGCTGATGGCTTCGCTCTTTGTAGCAAAGCTGTCCACATAGTCATCCACATAATGACAATCGATGATGGCCTTGACTGCTCTTGGATCCGAATGACGAAACTATTCAGCATTTACAGTTTTCACGTAATGCGCAGCGCTTGGCGAGCAGGCTGCTCCAAAGGTCATTACAATC